AAATTGTTGTTTTATAATGAATCTTTTATGTCTGGTACATAAGTTCAAATGTCTGGCGCAATTCTACGTCAACCTTGCTTGATAATTACTTGTTGATTCTAGTCTAATAAAAATTAATTAAAAAGGTAGTTGACAACCGTTAAAAAGGGCTCTCGTTAGACTCTAACTGAAGTGGTTTTTTTAAAATAAAAGCTAAGGATAAAGCAGAGGTCTATAATTCTATAATGTTTTATTGTATTATTTTGTAGGCAAGTTTTGAAAGTGGATTAACTGTGTATGCAAATGATTCGAGATTTCAATATCTTAAAAAACAGGTAGGTGTCTTGACTTTTTACACTTCCTTCAAAAATTATTGATGTATGTTGACTTCTGTATCAATATGATTAAAATTATATCCCATCTTCACAATGTCACACTATTACAAGCGTCATATCTTATACCTTGACATCAATAGCCACCTTTCTTGAATCACATAAGTTTGTCCATTTGATTAGATTGAATTCAAAAGAATACAGCTATCAGAGCCCTCGACTGGTAGTTACACTCGCAGTCATAATGTTTATGTCTTTCTGTCGAGGGCTCTGATTGGCTGTATTCGTTGGCATACCACGCAATCAAATCATTTCATTTACGAACTTCTGTGATACAAGAAAGTGCCTAAGATAGATCCAGTAACATTTTCACATGAAATAACACCATGATATTGGGTGGAAAAATAAAAAAGTTCAAAGGCAAAATGTAGAAGCCCATGCAAATGACATCTGTCAAAAATGAGAAAATTTGTGACAGAACTCCGCACAAGTCAGTGATTTTTAGTTTTATTTCCACATGAGAAATTTTATCTAAATTGTTGGAAGTCACAGTGACCTATGTTTGTCTTAGAAAAATACCGATAAACCTATTGAATAATATATACAGTTTCTATTTTCTACAAGTTTTTCATGTTACATGATAGACAAATCAATGAGATCTATATAACTTTCAAAACTCTACTTTTACCGTCTCCAGCATAATCTAGGGAATTTCAAGGCTGCCATCTTGGATAACATCTTTCAATACTAACTTGCCTTGAAGAAAATTACAATTTGAAACGATCTGATCATATATAAGGGGAATATTAGTTTTTATATGTAGCTTTGATAATTCTAAATTTTGTACATGATGTGGATCATTAGTTCAGTTCATGCAGGAAATAACTCAATGTTAGGTTGGTTGTTGCATCTGGCAGCCATTTTAGGATTTAAATTGCGTTTCCCTCCGTTGCATTCAGTAAATCTGTAAAAGTGAAATTTGGAAAAGAAAAGAATGAAAAGGTCATTGTAAATGTCACGGTTCCACAAAAAAATGATTTTAGATTGAGAATTGAAAAATAATTTCCACTTGAGAAAAGGAAAGAAAGGAGGAGAAATGTTTGTTAAGAACTTGAGAGGAGTTATTCAGACTACTTGTAGAGGTTGTATTGTAATTGAAATAGTGTTTATCTCAACAGCTAAATAAACATCAACTCTACTCTCTATAATTTACTTTTATTAATTATTGTGTCTACACATCTTTATCAGTCGATAGAATCTCTTGTTTTTAGGTGGCTAGTTTTATTAATGCTATACCTAGATCTACAAGAGTTTTAACAGAATCTTATTAAGTTATTTGGTTTTGATATCCTTTTAATCAAGGTACCATATCAACTTGTAAACGTCTGATTGAAAATTAGAATGGTGCAAAATGATGCTACCAGTGTCCCCACAACCATACACAATTTAGAAAACCTCTTTACAATCCCTTTAACACAAAAATTTACATTAGAAAAAAAGGTGTAGGTCTGAGAATTCCAGCCCAATCTAATCATCCATTATTCCATCCTACTAAATAACATTCAAATCTTTATTAAAAATATTGAAATAATGTACTATATAAAGTACAATGTTCAAGCTTTCTACTTAATAGCAATGTAGTCTAGATCATAAGAACACTTTATAATATCTAGGAAACCTTTATATGCTATGTTAATTTCCAGTGTCTATCCTTCACCATTATTGGAAGCTGTAAAAGACAAGCAACAATCATTTATTTTAAATGTCAATTATGGAAAAGAAATTAACAATATCTATTTCTAAAAAGATTGTACAATTTGTGAAACCATAAATATAATTGAGACATTTTTATTTTTCTATGTTCAATGAGAAACCTTGTTGTCAAATTATTACAGAGAAATCTTACATCTTCATTTGTCTGGGTAGGGAATAAAACTTTAAAGGGATTGTAAACTTTAAGTGTATTGGGGACACTGATAGCATCTATTTACACCATTCTGATATTCAGTCAAGACATCTGTGGTTCTTGCACTACTACTAAAACTAAGCATTTTTATGACGTAGCCATGGCAAAGACTCTTCAATGTTATTTGCGATAGTGAAGAATATACGGTTCAGCGTTTCTATAACTACAGAAACCACAAACATCTGATGTAAAATTTAAATGATGCAAATTAAAAACAGCTGGAAAGCCTCTTTTATATACACAGAAAACCATACCTCATCTATCTATAGAATAGAATCTTAATTGATGAAAACCTGATTTTATCTTTTTTCATCCCATATTTTGGTATTTTACAGACATCAGTATGTTATCAACTGATAAAAAGTTCAACTGCTATCAGAAGAAAAAGTGTTTGTGAAACTGATTCGCATATTGAATCTTTAATTGGACTTTGTGGTAGGTATCCCTTTATTTCTGTATTCCATCATGAAATAGAAAGATTTAATCACAATTTCTATTATTATGTGGCCAGGGTTTGATCCTTGAAATTTCTTCTTGCTCTATAAATTTTTCGTTAGAACGTATCTTTAAATTGATTATATTTGAAATAAAGACTTGTCTCTTTAATTCTATTATTTGCTATTAAATTATATAAAAAGTAGAGATAAATTATAACTGGAGGCTATAAACTGTCAGTGAATGGATGAAAATATAAGAAAGTTATGAAACCGTGTGTGTTTATATTGTTATAAAATTTACGTAAATGTAGAGATACCCACAGGCTTCTATCAGAGGGAGATATCATCTCTTTCTTTAATCCGAAACTGTCTTGAGTTTATACCTACACAAATCTCATCTCAATCTGATTAAACTTATATTACTATTTCGTTTCCTATTTTTCATCTGTCTCCATTGTAATCTAACAGGATTTATACCAAGGTTGTGTACTGTTGTTGTTCGTTTTAACCAATCACAGTACGTCATGCACAACACCTGTGTGAATATTGTTATGAATTGTGGGATAGCAAAATCCACAGTAGTACGCTATGACCAATGAGATTATGACTGCCAATTCTCGCTTGTAAAGTGATTCTGATTGGCTGTAGATTGGCAGTGATTTGATTTGATGGAACACTATACAGCCCCGATTACACCCACAGCAAAATTGTTTTCATTATTTCTGATTGACTGTATTTGCAAGCATACAATCAAAACAAACATCTGCATTTACAAAATAGAATAAGGAGTTGATTGTATTGTTGTTAAAATTTAGAGATTCATGGCCATTTGTAATGAATACAGCTGACAGTTGTAACTGAAGACTAATTGTAGAATTTGAAAAGTATTTATAAGAAAAAATTCTATAATTAAGATCAATACTTTTAACAGCTGAAAAATACTCTACTTGATAAAAAAAAAAAACCTGAAATTTATTCCAAATGATAAAAAATATCACGTAGAAGATTCGGATTAATCTATTTGAAGAAGTTGTATGTTGATTGGGTGCTAGAAGTCAATTACTGGTGTAAATTAGCTCATTTCCTTCTCATCATAGCCTGTAGTAGTAATAGGTCCTTCGCACCAATTTTATTATTACATTGAATCAATGCACAATCACGTTAACTTGTTTGTCAAATTGACGCGACCTCATCTCACAGCCTCCAGGCTCAAATATTCTACCACTGACTGAAAATTTTATTAGGCTTTAAATCATTGAATACTTTTATTAACTCTAGGCTGTTGATTGAATGAATGACAACTGAATAAGGGTAGTTGAGTAGATGGAGAGGGAGGAGGGGGGCTGAAGGGGGATGAGAGACTTTAAGGTTTGTTAAAATTTGGGGCAAGAGAATGATTTTTTTGGTATATTTATTAGAATATGAAAACAGTTTCAAAACAGCACTGAAAATCTTGAAAGGACTGCCTCTGGCACAGACTGTTAATATTTGAAAAACAGAATCAGAAGTCTAGATAAATTTCCTTGTAGTGTTCTCTGGAAGCTTCAACAAAAGACTGATATTATGTGGACTCTCAAAAGATAAAAAAGAGATGAAATTTGTCTAGGTAAAATTCTCAGTCTGAAAATCTTTATGATCTAGAATTGAAATAACACAGACTGTACATGCTAAACAAGAATAACAAAGTCTAGGTATACTTCATTCCAAATAGATTTGTTAAAGTGTAAAGCTATTTTGATTGTCAAGTGATATTAAGTGACTTTGTTAGTGTTAGGTAGGGATGGCCTTATGTTTTTTGATGCCCATTTCTGTACCGTCGCTGTGCCACTAGCCACGGCCATACTAATAATCTACACAGTCAAATCAGCAAACTATATGTATTTACATGTGGAATCTAACAAAAAAAAGATTTGGAAATTGATTTTCTAGATGTATTTAACCAGTTTTCTTTACTATTGTGTTATAAATTCCTTAGGGTACTTGCAGTGGTGCATTGACTGACACATGACATTTTGGGAAAAATAAGTCCCCACAAAAATAAAAGATTTTGCAAGCATGATCATACTAGTTAATATGAGATTTTAAACGTTTGGTTTACTTTAGTCTATTAGGTAAAACATCCTTTGTCTTACTATTGGAAGAAAGGTACTTTAGAACGAATTTTGCCCAATGTTTCTTGCCATAGTACTTCAAAATCTTGTAAACAATTAATTTTCCATTGATCATGATTTTAGATTGTATCTTATTTCGAGTGTCCTGATAATCAAGACTAAATATATATTTACAGGTGAACTCTATGATCAAGATGCAGCCTCTTTGCAGATTAAAGTTATCAAATATGTAAGTATTGTTGCCTTGCCGACCTGGAAAATATAAACCTACATATTAACATTTTATTGCTAGGGCAGCTCAAAAAGAATCTTCAAGTTGTTCCAAAGGGAAAATAACTGAAGTTCCCTGTGTTATGGGTTGTGTTTGAAAATGAGTAGGCTAATGTACTTTCCTAGAAAATTTCCCATACTGCATGGTGTTATCTGTCTTCATTAGCCCATTATTAATAGCAGCTTTTGCAATAGTGACATCAAAAAATTCATGAACCTCAATAAATTTTTTAATTTTCTTTCTTTCCGTTTAGTTACAACAACGAACCCAGGCTCAGAGTGCGTTTTTATTACTCATTGTTCCGGACACACAAGAATTATTTTGTCAGGTACGTCAAGTCTTTTTTTTTTTTTACAGTATACTATCTTTGTCTATAATGTTTCCTTTTTAATTTCCTCGTGTGAAAATAATACTTTATTTTCTTCTCATGTTTTCTCCCGCAGGAATCAGACTCTAGTGTCAGACAAAAAGGTGGCGAAAGATATTTTTTAGAAAATGAGAGTCTTTCAGTCTGGACAGAGACTTCTGAGATATTTTGATCAGGTCAAAAACATAATGATGTTAAACTGATGAGAATAGATCTCCTATTACAACAGTTTAATTACTAGTGGATATGCCTAGAATCTTTGTTTAGATGTTTAACTGAGTATAGTGTTTGGAGAAATTGGTAAAAGGGATTCCATGCCTTAAAGATGGGTTCCCTTATTTTCATTTATAAAAGTGAAAATGCTAATACTTATATAAATAGGAAGTAGAGGTGTTCTAATGACTTGGAAAAATACCAGTTTGTCTCACATGTCCATAATTCATAATTAGCTAAATTAGAAGAGAATTACCAGCAGAATTCCATTGAGTGACCAATCAAGAAAGGTCAAAAAGTCTTCTTCTTTTTTTATCCAGACTGTACATACATGAGCATTTATGATTGGTTAAAACTCTTAATTATATGCAATAAGAACATAATGATATGATTAAGAATACATGATAATTCATTAGAAACACCAATTAATCAAATAGTTTCCTTAATTTGACAATAAAAGAATAAGGAAACCCATCTTTAACAATGATTTTAGTAAAGGGATGTCAAGCGTTAACCTGTCTTATTTACACAGCAACATTTTAGATGTAATGTCAATCTTCAGCCAGTGCCTTTTGTTGAAGGCTAACCTACCCAAGCTCTATTTATTTAGCTTTTAGACTTGTTCTAATCTGAGATTTTTTCACACTTGTTAAAAGTGTCTCAAACTATAGTAATATACCAGTTGTATATGGTTGTGAATAATGAAAGTGGGCATGAGATCCTAACACAACTCACAACTCAGTTGAAGAAAGTTGCATTCAAAACTTATGACTGCAACCATATACAACTGTTGATTGCTATGGTCACTTAAAGTGTAGTACATTGTAGTAATAGATGATATATATATATATTGTTATACATAAGAAATAGATTCCCACTAGATAATGATCATTATTACTATCATGCTATACCACCATAAAAAACACTTTATCTCTAGTCATCAATAGATATACTAACTAGATCAGACTAAATAGGAAAAATAGCTACAGTATGGTACTGTTATAACTGTGGTCTGTAGGCATAGGCTAAGAAGGTTCTAATGGTATTTCTAACATTACACCCTTATATATAAATATATTTTATATGAGTTATTGCCCTTGATCTTGAAAACATGTTAAATTTTAAGCTTGTAAGCACTCAATTCTTGTCAGATTTTGTACAAAACTTGCAAGTATTGAATAATTGAAAGAAGTGTGTGTATGAATATTTCATACTGGTGATTGTTACTGTACTGCTAAATATTTTTATTTAAAATCAAAGCTGCCAGTTGGTGTATATTACCATGCCTGGCAAGCTATCTTTAGATTATTTTTTACAGACAAAATATTTTAAGTACCGTATTTAACAAAAAAATAATAGTTATAAACAGTCAAATCAATGATTTTACAATGTTCATGTTTTTCAGACGTTTTCGATATTTTTTAAATATCAAGATGATAATATAGATATATAAATGATGAACAATTGAACTTTATAACTTATAAGAGTCTTCAGGAATATAAAATCAGAGGAAATGATGCTATTTCTTCTAAGATAAATTGCCTTCTATAGAAAATGCAGTCAATTTCATCGACTAAACTAATTATGTATTGAATTCCAAACCAATTTCTCTTTCGTCTACCTAAATATTGAACTTTTCATGCACATAAAATACGTCTAAGTGGGCAATTTCCATCATTCACTTAAATACGATAGATTTTGTCATTTTTTGCCAAGAATGTAGGCTATTTTTTCCATGTTTTTAAGAAACATGGGATAGGCACATAATGTGGAGCTTTAGTAGGTTACTTGTGAAGCTGAGTTTTTTATTTTATTTTTTTTATACTACTCACTATCTATTTTCATATAATTGATATAATCTGAATACTGAGCTTTACTTGTTTTAAGTATTTTATCCTCATTGAGCACAGCATAGATTCATTTCTTTCTTAAACCCAAGTTTTTATTTTAATCTTAAACAGGAATTGTGATGAAATCCCTTTCCCAATGTTCAATAAAACTGTATTTTATCTTAGGTATAATTTTGAGAGTAATCATTAGATCCCCAAATCTTTAGAAATTCAGAAAATCCGTAATTAACATGACCTGTATTGCCCTGTTATTATCTGTAGTGGAGATTACTAAGATGGATATAAAGTGGTAAACATGAATAGCGTGTGGAAGCGGCAAGTGAATAAAGGCACAAGAAGGAATAATAGAATCAGTAGAATCTATCAATATATTATGAAGGGTCGTTTCAACCGACTGTAAATTGGTGATTTATTGCTCTAGGTCTAATATACTTCAGGTTATTGGATGAAAAGGATTATTGCCTCTCTGACATCACACAGCACTTATTCCTTTCAAATTCCTTTTCTGTTTAAGCAGGTCTGATAATTTGCCTGTATTTTGCAAGGTCACGTCCAGGGCTCTTAATTTATTGTTTTACCGGCAGACATTTTTCAATGACCTGGGAGATATGAGTGAAATTATCCATATCTATTACCCCTTTCAGGAACCTTGGTCGATTGCGTTACCCCACACCAAATATTATTGGTTATTGTTTACAGTCTTTCTGTTGAGCACTCTTATTGACATACAATCCAACAAAGGCTGATTCCCTTATACAACAAAGGTGGTTACGGAAGTCAAGGTATAAGACCAAAGTTTGTTATACCTGTACATTGTGAAGATGATTAAACTCAGCTAAAGTCTGATTGAAATTTATGCTAAATCTTACTCTTTTGCTTCAGGTGGTTGGCAGTAAAGTTTTACAAGGAGAAATCCGCTTCCCTGTAAGTATTATATTGATAATAACTCTTCTCATGATGAAATGTGTTTTGGATTTGATATCCTCATCAGGATAGGATATTAAACCAAGGCCCTCTGTGCTACAGACTTTGAACACAATAAAAACATTTGATAATTAAAAAAAGGATACAGAGCTAATGTCTCTGCCAAGTCAAAATTCATTCTTGCACATTGCTGTCTCCATTAGCCCAATTAGAAACATGAAGCTAAAGATACAAATCCCTTCTGATTTTATTATGTGTTATAATTTCAGGGTCAGTCAAGTTGTTTTGCCTCAGCCCTAGACAAGAAAACCTCCATAACTTTAGATGATTTACCAGAGGTACTGTACCATAGTGTTGGATTTTTCTTTCTGTATTAGATTTGTTAGATTTGATATGGGGGAGAGGTTGAGTCCCTTTCGTTTCACATTTAGGATCATAATTTTTGAGATGCAGAGAAACTGTTACTCTAAGCAAAAGAAGGGTACACAAAACAATGGAAAAGAAAAACAATACATGCTGTGATAGTGCAAAAAGTGTTGACATCTGATCATTTTTTGAAAATAAACACAAAACTTCATGGTGCCCTCAAAACATAGTAATATACTAGTTGTATATGGTTGTGAATAATAAAAGTGATCACGAGTTCTAAATACAACTGACAACTCATGTTAATTGCTATGATGTAAAGGCCACTTTAAAAGAAATATTTAGTAAAACTAGAGATATTGATTTTGATAGTGTGACTTTTAAAATGAGAAGATAGAGTTAATTTGTTAGACTAGTAAATAATATGTTAATGTTAAAATAGATCAAAGACATGGAAATGATATTTTCTATCCACATATTTCACAGTAATTTGTTAATGTGTTTGCTTAATTGATCCATCCAATTCTATTTATTTATTGAAACCAAGAAAATTATTAAAAAAACAGGAAAAGTTAATTGAAGGGAATTCAGCTTTCAGAATTGATGTAACAAATTTAAAAAAATCCATAAGTTCATAATCTGACGTGATCTTTTGGGGTAGAATTGAAAATGAATTTTTGGAACTGTTGTAGATCAATAAAAAAGAATAATAAATCCAGGTGGCTTTGGAACTATTTGTTATTTTTTGCCTCATTACAGAAATCAGAATCAGAATCGGTAATGTACCATACAGTCTTAATGCAACACACAAAGAAAACAATACTTAATGGAAACTTTAAGGATTTTTTGACGGCATCAAATTAATTAAACTTGCAGTCATCGCACTGTGCCTACTATTTTTTATTTAAAAGCTGTATAGTTTATTGAATTATGATTTCTACCAATTAGCCTTGATAAGACAGATTAAAATACTGGAAAATGAGTAGAGATATCAAACTACCAAATTATCTTTTTGAAATTTGTTCCAAAATTTGAGAAGTTTGGTAAATTACAATTGATTCTAATCAGCCTAGTTGAAATTCAGATCTGAATCAACCTGCAGTATATTGAATTATTAGTGTATCTATTGGTCTATGTTAGAATCAATCAATGTGTGAATTCAGTTGAATGATGATGTTAGTGATAAGATATTCGATGTACGTCACTACCTCATCTTATCCACAATGTCGTGTTTCCATGTTACATCTCATTTAGTTTATTTACTTTAACCAGACATTCTATTGATCTCTAACTATTTTATTCAAGACCTAGTTTGGGTTTACTGAAATATCTTCTCTGCTTGTTTAAACATCTTAGCCTTTTCTGTGTATGTATTACTTAAATTCAACATTTGATTGCTGTTTTGACCATTGTGGTAAAATTGCAACTTAATTGAATTTCAAAGAAAAGACTAAAAAATGATGATTTTTCTGCATTCAAGATCATGTTACGGTTAATATTTCAAAAGTAGCCTTCACGAGTTCATTAATCAATTGACTAAAATTTCTCAAACCTTACCATGACTTTAATATTTTATTTGTTCAGTAGGATAACTATCTCTTCTAGACTCCTGGATATTATCACACAAATATCAAAGTTCATCCTGGAAATTCTCCAAAATGCTCCAAGTTTAAGATTCTCGAAAATACCAAAGTTCAAATACGGTTAAAAATCTATAATTTTACAGACAAATGAAATTTCTTGATATTTTAAGTTGTCAAAATTTGTAAAAATCAATAAAATATATTGTGTTAAATTCTGTTATATATTGATAATATTGTCAATTTTTGATTTGTAATCTTACCCTGCCATTTATTAATCTAATAACAAAATTTGAAGAATAACAATATTAAAGCTATCATGTCTGGGTAAAAGGAATTTTTAAAAAAATAAAATGCTGTTGTACAAAAGATGTATATTAATCCTATACCTGATAGGAAAAAAAATTTAAATTTGTTGAAGATGAGATTCTGGATCAAAAAACCATTTTTTCATATTTTTAGTCTGCATAACAATGATATTCTTGTATCCTGTGGAATATAGCCCATTGAATGAATATGTAGTCAAGGGGTGGTATTTGATAGGCGGGGCTAGAGGCTGACTCATGCGCTAATGCTCAAAATGGCGTTTGACAGGCTTGTCTCTGTTAACACTTTATTTATTTCAATTTACAACTCAAAGTTTCTAAAATAAAATGATCAGATAAAAAGGTTATTAAATAACTGAAAAAAATTGGTTATTTTTTATTTTTGTTTTTAGGATAACAGACAAGAACTCTATGATATTTATGGGAATAACATAAACTCATTTCTATGTGTACCAGTACGAAGGAAAGGTGCTGAAGATCTGATAGCTTTGGCTTGTGTCGTCAATAAACGAGGGGCTGACAGGTAAGATTACAGCTTTTATCATCGCAACTTGTGATCGCAACTTGTGATCGCTGTGAATGTCCCTTCAGAGGTTGACCTTTAAACATGAAAATGCAGATATGTTATCAATTAAGTGGTAAATATTTTCTAAAAAAAACAGTTATTACTGTCAAATACAGCCAAATTACAGTTCTGTAATTGTAAGATGCTAAAACATTCACAGAAACAGGCTAATTTAGACAAGAGTTGAGGTTATGAAGAAATTAAAACCTATTGGTGCCAAAATACAACTGCATGAATTTATGAAAGTATATTACTTAATCTTTTTTATAGATTTTGTGGTGATGATGTACAAGCAATTAGAAAATGTTTTCAATATACAGCTACAGTTTTAACCAGTACACTTGCTTTTCAAAATGAGCGAAAACTCAAAAATCAAACACAGGTAACAATGCTAATTTCTTACTCAGGAAACAAGCAACAGTTGACAGGCATTCCTTCTCTTCGTTAATATTTTGTATGTGTTACTGTAGGACTGGGTTTATCAACTCAAAATCCTCAAAGGAGCTCATAATGTTGAGTTTTTTTATTCAGTTCTGTGAAAATATGAGATATAAGCCGGTTATGAAGACAGCATGGCAACCTTTTCCTCTGACTAGTTATATCAAATTTGGTTATTACTGATAATGATAATAAAATATTTATTTTACATGGGTCAGAATTAGGTCCGATACACCAAGGACATGGTCCCAGCTCATGGTCCCAGCTCATGGCTTAGAAGTAGGGTTAAGACTTAGAAATTCGGTTATTGGTCCTGTATTTTGGATACGTTAGCTTAAAAGACCTGACGGCAGATCTCTAAATCTTATTATTTGTTTTACAGGCTTTATTACATGTAGCTAGAAAGTTATTCACGAGACTTGGTGAGTACTTGTATGTTTATTCTATCTCTAGACTTGATTCTCCAGTAGTAAAGTGTGGTTTGTACACAATGAATATCGAGAGTCTACGACCAATATTTATGCCAATTTCGATTCCACGACCACTGGGATATGTACAGGAAGTACAATATGCCACAACTCCTGCCAAAGTTTTCTGCAAGGGAACACATACCAGTAAGAAAAGGAGAGGAACGACTTCTTTCTTGAGGACACCATTTAAACAAGAAGCAGTATCCAGCAAGAAAGCCTTGACACCGTCTGTCAACAGAGAAGACCTTCGAATGGACAACTTTGGATTCATGTCTCCCAAATGGATTCAACAGGCTGATGTTTCATCTTTTAATAAAGGTTTTGCTTTTAATCTACCTGAATATTCTGATAACGATGAAACGCCAAATGCGTCCATCATAAATGGCAGTGGTATTGGTACTAGCACTTATGTTGGATCCGTGTACACTCCGAGAAGTCCACTATCAAATGTAAGTCGTAAAGAGGAGTATTTTACTCCGCTACCCATGAATTATCCACCACGACCAAGATCTCTGACTCCGAATTCCATGTATTTCCCTGCTCTTGATGATAGTGAGGTGGAATTCATCACTTCAAATATTGCTTCTAAAACTGATACTGATGATGATTCGGACAAAGGCTTCCCAGAACTACCAGGATACCCAGAAAGATCCTTAACACCCAAGGCTAATGAAGATTCTGCTAAAGGTGTCACGGAACTTCCAGGAAACCTAGGAAGATCCACAACTCCTAATTCCAAGGTTGACACTAAGGAAAAAGCTGATGAAGATTCTGTAACAGAGCTACCAGATCATCCAGGAGGATCCATTACACCTAACTCTATGGCTGACACAGTATCAGAACAAGCAGAAGTATCCATTACACCTAACTCTATGGCTGACACAGTATCAGAACAAGCAGAAGTATCCATTACACCTAACTCTATGGCTGACACAGTATCAGAACAAGCAGAAGTATCCATTACACCTAACTCTATGGCTGACACAGTATCAGAACAAGCAGAAGTATCCATTACACCTAACTCTATGGCTGACACAGTATCAGAACAAGCAGAAGTATCCATTACACCTAACTCTATGGCTGACACAGTATCAGAACAAGCAGAAGTATCCATTACACCTAACTCAATGGCTGACACAGTATCAGAACAAGCAGAAGTATCCATTACACCTAACTCTATGGCTGACACAGTATCAGAACTAGCAGAAGGATCCACCACTGCTAACTCTATGTTCGTCACAGACGAAGAAGTCCAGGAGGATTTTGAAACAGAGGAAGACTTTGATGAAGATTCTGACAAAGGCTACACTGAAATACCAGATCGCCCTGGAAGATCTTTAACGCCCAACTCCATGTATTACAATGCTTACGAGGAAAGCGACAGATCAGTCACCCCTACATCTGAATATTATTATGCCAGTGATGCCAAAGAAACTGCAGACGCAAATTTCTATACTGATGACGATGTGCGTAGATCACCATTCAAACCGTACGCCACAGCATTAAGAGACATCACTTTAGCCAGTAAACAAAGCCGCTCTGACACCTTTCTCCCAGGAAATGATCCATCAAATGGCGTGTCCACTTATCCGTCTGCTCAGACATCCTTCAGTGAACCATTTATTCAAAAATTTATTAGTTCTGGTTCCAAGCTGGACATAGATGATTCTGACCTGATATTCAAATTTATTGAATCTGAGAGAGAATCAGCAGCTAGAAGTGAACTGGAAGCAACGTTAACATGCTCTGTAAGTCAAGATCAGGTTATATTTGTGGAAGATGCTGACACGAATTTTTACCATAAGGTCGTCCTCAAAGATGTCAAGTCTTGGACTCAATTGAGCTCTCATCCTAATCAGAAATTAAAATCTCTGATAAAGAGTAATGAACACACTAAATACTTGCTGAAAAATCAGGTTCCAACTGTAAGCGTCAACTCCATGATAGAAAGTAGGTCAATTGATAGTTCAAAAATTGAAGTTGGGAGTTCAAAGTTCAAAGTTGGAAGATTTGAGTTGATATGTTCAAGTTGGGTCTGTTGTCAGAAACGTCATAAATTTAAGATGATCACACACAAAGCATACAAAACTACAATTCTGATTGGTTGATCTCAAGATATTTGACCAATAAGATTTATTGAATTTTTTAGATCACAAGCTGTGAGTTTTTGGACAACAGACCTCTTGTTGATAATAAGAATTTTATAGTTCAAAGTTCTAAGATGTTGATTTGTTTTTAGTTGATGTTGATAATATATTTTAAATTCTCTAGATTTGTTGATCGCATGTTGATTTAAAGATGTTTTATTTTTCCTTAAGGTGATCAGACAACACTCAAAGTTTCTTTTATAAATAATATTCATAATTCATTTTTTATTCTAAATGTTTTTCCAGTATACATATATTCAGATAAATATTAATTTCACACACGCACCATTTAAATACTATACATTAAAACGACTCTTTATTTCTAAATAGTTTCCCGTTATTAGAAATATATTGTCCACCAGTCAATGCACCCAAATTTTTTATTTTCATACGCAGATTATAAGATATTATTATTTTCTTCTTATAGATGATTTAACCAAGTTATTACGTGAAATTATGCAAGAAGCCAGAAATCTTACTCAAGCTGAAAGGTAAGTCTCTTTCTTACAGTGGTTTAATTTGAACTTTGACCTGCATTGTGCTGACAGTTATACATCTTCACAGTCTCAAGCTATAACCAACTTCGTACTTGTACCTTGACTGCAATAACCACCTTTCTTGTTTAGCATCTTCACAATGTCAAGCCTTCACAAACTTCGTCTTATACCTTAACTCCAATGGCCACTTTTCTTGTATCACTGAAGTTTGTAAATGCAGTGATTTGATTGGATTGTAGCTAGGGTCCCCTGTGACTGACTTCAATAATTACAAAACAATGAATGATTTTGATTGAGTAATTTTATAAAAGATATTAAAGAACTAAGTGATATGTTTATTATTTTAGATGTTCAGTGTTTTTGATTGATGATGATGAATTAGTAGCTAAAGTCTTTGATGGAATCAGTGCTGTAGATTCACAGGTAAACTCCATTTCTTTTACCCATAGAAAAAACAGAAACAAAATGATATAGCCATGATTGGTTTCTACTGTTCTCTTTTTCATCTAGAATCTCACACTGTCTGCCGACCCTCGTTTAATCCCACTTAAACTTAGGTTTTAAGGTTCACATCTAGAATCCCACACTGTTTCTCATGTATTACCACCTTAGCTCGCGATCTTCTAGCCTGTTTTTATTTCAGACCTTTGTCTTCATTAGACCAATAAGGTAGAGAAGAGTAGGATGTAAAACTCCATTCATTTCATTACATGTTTCAGGCTCAACAAGAAATAATTCTACCGAAGACCCAGGGTATAGCTGGACATGTTGCTACATCAGGTCAACTATTGAATATAAAAGATGCTTATTCTCATCCTCTATTTTATAGAGGTATTGATGATTCCACTGGATTTAGAACCAGGTAAGTATATTGAATACTTTAATAACTTAATAATACAGCTTGTTATAACTGTGTTTCCACCAGCAGTATGTTCTCTTTTTTTCATGGATGATACCAACATTTTCTACAAAGTGAATTAAGTCTCAGTTTTATTATGCTTTTATTATTTATTTAAAAACATTTTTTTTTTTCAGAAATATTTTATGTTTTCCAATTAAAAATGAAGATGGTAAGTACTGAGTTTTGTTTTGTCTTTAACTAGTTACAGTTTTTCACCTGATGTTGAATGAAAGGCCTAGAGACTTCCTTATTTTTAGTACAATCCAAGTAAATCAAATTTTAATGGACACTTTGTGAAACATCTACATTGGTAGGAACCCTGGTATTCTGTCATTCTGATGTCAAGGTAAGTTTTTGAGAATAAGGCCTCAGTAATTAATGTAATATTTAATATATATTTCTAGAGGTGGTTTTAGGGGTAGCTCAACTATGTAATAAGAAAACAGGACCATGTTTTACTCAGTTTGATGAAGATATTGCCTCAGCTTTCGCTGTTTATTGTTGTATTAGTATTAGTCATGTGAGTATTAACTTCTAACTGAGTTATTTCCCTTTCTTTTGACCCTTTGAGTGTTGACTTAGCGTGTCAACTATCAATGCAATCACTGTATTGCAGTTATTTCCCTTCATTAGGACCTTTGAGTGTTGACTTACATGAGTGTGCCCTTGTATAGGGAGCACACTGATTGTCCAGGCAATGTAATGCAGTTATTTCCCTTTCATCACACTCTTTGAAGTGTAGCCTTACAGGAGAAATTAGAAATTTTTGTAGTACTTAAAGCTTGAATAAATTTTCTTTGACGTGTGCACATATGACATTGATATTTTCTTAATAAATTCATTAGTAGATACAGATCGTATCGTATCGTATCGCAAATTTTTGATTTGATAAGTGCATCATGTAAACAGGCTCTTTTTGTGCCCATGTTTTGTTGGTTAACTTCTGAACATTTTTTTAGGACAAACATTTAATATTTTTTTTCCTCAGGATATATGGCATAACATGTTTATTTTTCAGTTATTACATTTGTTTAAAGATTAATATATTGTTATATATAGTCTTAACAGACTGACAAATATATATTATTTTATTTCAAAGGCCCAATGTCTTTTCTTTTCAAAGAATGATCAATTTGTCTCTGTTTGACCTATTATTTGATAATGTGTCCAAAAATGTGCCCCAAGTTTTCACGTCATTTTGCCAATTGTAGTCACTAATGTATCAGAAGATGATCGATGCCCAGTCTCGAAACAGTTTGATAAACGAACTAATGATGTATCATATGAAGGTATCTAGCCCTACATGTCACATGACTTGTTTTATCATCGTAGCTGGCTGGCATGATAACCTTGACTTCTTTATCCACTATTATTTAGTCTTTTTTATTTTTTATCTCCTTTTTCTTGTATAAAGTTAGCTTGGGATTTCTCCTGATTTTATACTTCAAACAACAGATAATGAAATCGTGTCAATTAATTTTCATCCAGGTTCCAGCTGCATATTCAACTCCAATTCTCATTTTGGCTGAAAATTATCAGACTCTGTTTCGGTTTTTTTTTGAATGAAATTCCGGTCTGAAAGAGTTAGAATTAGGGATGATACAAAAACAGAAATTTTAACATGAAACCCACATCTAGACCTCTTTTAAATCTGAAAATTACTTTCATTATCATAAAAAGGGATCGTCATTCCTTGTAAAAAGGGAGGAAACTCAGTTAGCTTTCTACAGTAAATTAGCTCTGACGTAATTTGTATATTTTATATTTTAGATATCACCCTTTTTTATTGTCACCATAACAACAATCATATTTCAATTTTTATTTTAATTTTAATATTCTCTATTCTCTTTTACAAAAAGTTTCAATTCCATGACCATGTTTTTCTATAACACTTTGAACACAAGCAGCTATATTGGCCTCAAAATAATCAAAAAATTGGTTGTAAAGAAACATGATGTATAAGGTGTATAGTCCTCAAAATATTTTGATTATATTTAATGCTGATAAAGCTCAATTTCAGCTTTTCAACACACTTCTCAAAATAACTGCAATAAATGCAAATTTCTATATGTTTAGACTTTACAATCATTATAATTTGGTTGTAAATTAAGTCAAAGTTAAAGTACCAAAATTTGAAATAAAGATTGAAAGTGTGATTTTCTTGTATTCATTTTGGTTTTAGGTTTCTGTGTAGAATATTTTATTTGGTATTAGGCTTTCTGTGTAGATTTTTTTTGTTTGCATATTTTTAATGTTATCTTTATGTTCTTTGTGGTGATCTAGTGTTTAATGTATAGAAAAGCTCAAGAAGCACATCATCGTTCACGACTCTCTAATGAACTCGTCATTTATCATATGAAGGTAAAGTTTCTACTAATATTTTACTAGTTATTCCAATAACAATTTACAGTAACAAAATAACAATGACAAATTGACAGTAACAGAATAACAATAACAATTGACAGTAACAAAATAACAATGACAAATTGACAGTAACAGAATAACAATAACAATTGACAGTAACAGAATAACAATAACAATGTTACTTTCATTTGAGATACACGTTACCAATGACACTATGTAAACTTTCTTAATTGGATGACTACGATCAAGGAGTTAAAAATACCTAATTAAAGGGGACACTGATAGCATCAATTGGCACCATTCCTATTTTCAATCATACGTCTGTTGTTTCTGCAAATCCACTTAAACTAACTGTTTGATGACATCACTAATTTCAAGATATAAGGCCCGATTAGACACATAGACATTGAAAAGGGTCTTCAGTATAGTAATTGGGGTGGGGAGAGGTTATTAAAAAAAGACAAAATTTATAGACTTGATGCTTCACCTTTAAATTACTGACTTCAAAAATTGAAAACATGAATTTTTACCTTGGGGTACTCTGACTCATTACAGTTGCATTCTTAATTTTGATTTTTCTTAACGGATAATGATTTTTTTTTTTTTGGCTTTTTGCATTTTTTAATGTTTGTTTTTTTGGTTATTGGTGTTTGTATCTTTCTTTTGAATTTCATATACTAATATAGATAATTATCATTGAAATTGTTGAATTTGTCATATTTTTTTTTTAATTATTATTGTTGCATTTTGCAAATGTTTTATTATAGATGAAGTATTCGAAGATTTATTACATTGCAAATTGAAAAAAAAAGGCCTATTAGTGCATAAATATCAAAATCTATCTTGGTTGAAGTGTAGTGTTGAGGATCTATGAATTCACCTCTCCTCCAAGTATTATTGTAGTACTGTGAATAATATTAATTGATATCAGTGGATTAACATAGACCTGCAATGTCTTAAATTGTTATCCAAGGATTTTGATGGTATAAAAAGTATGTTAGAAAAACTAGAAATCTAAAAATTGTGTCCCCACAACCATGAAATTCAGTTCCATGAAAATAAGTGAATTCAGAATCTTAAAATTCTATCAAAATCCCACGCCTCATTTGATTCGATACTATAACTACCAGTTGTTTTGTTGTATGTACTCCTCGATTCTATATGTTGTTCAAATCTTATATAACTACCGATATTATTTAATGCTGGGATACGAAAATGTCAGGATTATAATAAACAATGCATTGAAGAATGGCTGTAATAACTGGAACTTAATGATGTAAATTTAATAATATTTAGGTGACAGATGATGAAGTTACTCTTCTTGATGATGATTTTAAACCAGTGTTACAGATACATCCAGATTTTGACAAATTTTCCTACCCACCTAGAATTCTAGTAGAAGATGAAACCACTAGGGTAAGGTCACATTTTTATTATTTTTGAACTTTCATAAGTCTATATGTTACAATAGAAATAAGTTCTTGGTTGGCATAGAGATGTCCTTGACCTGTTTCTCTTTCTCAAAAAATTTATGATTGGAATTTGCAGCAAATTCTTTAAGAGCTGGGCCTTATTCTCTGAAACTTTACTGAAAATAAAATCTACATTTTAAGAAATACAGTTATCTGATTGGATAATAAAACTAAATTTAAAAACAATTTTAGTGATTGACCAATCAGATGGCAGGAACACTAAAAAGTGTAAGTCCCCTGATTGTAAGATTTTGTTTTAGGAAAGATTAACGATTATTTTGGGGGTAGATTGATCTAGAATTTTGTATTATGTTTCAGGCTTGTCTTAGTATGTTTGAAGATTTAGGTTTCGTATCAAAATGGAGAATAAAAAAAGATTGTTTGATTAGGTTTGTCTTTAATTTTTATCTGAATTAATGAGAGATACAGCTACAGTCACTGACTATATATAGGATGTTCAGGAGAAAATTAGGTATAACGGGTGAAAGCCGATAGCTGGCCACATATTCTCAAAACGATCTTAGCACTAGGATGTCCTAGAATCCATGTTAGAACATATGAACCTAGGACATCCTATCGCTAAGATAGTTTCGAGAATGTGTGGCCTGGTCAAGTTTCAGAAGTACCAGGCATCAAAATATTTATAATTTATAATGTATTTTATCAGAAGTGTTAAAACAGAACCTGAAACATGTTAAAGCCTTTGAATTGCGTTTATCAATTGTGAATATAATATATAGACACAGCTTTATGGAATAACAATTACTGGGGGTTTAACCAGTGATTGTTGTTCTATAAAGCTGTGTCTATATATTGAAACATGTTGTTACCCAGTGTTTCATCCTATGAGATCTTTAGACAACTGACTTATTTCATGTTTTTTATTCTGTTATTCGCATTATGTGTTTTTTGAAATTTTTCCAGGTTTACGTTAATGGTAAAAAGAGGCTATAGAAATCCTCCATATCATAATTGGATGCATGCTTATTCTGTTGCTCATTTCTGTTATTTGATGATCAAAAATTTGGAGCTGGAGAAAATTTTAGGGTGAGTTCAGTTCAACTTTATTGTATCTTACAATAGATAAAGATTTCCCTCAAAGATCTTACAAAACTTTCTTAGCCATTCTTATTTCAATTTCTGTTCTTCGCATTTTGGGACAAATGGTAGATATTTTAGAATTACAATTTGGAATTTATTTATGGATGGCTCTTTCCGATGTCAAGCTATTACAAACTGTGTCTAATACCTTGACTGCAATAGTCACCTTTCTTGTATCTTTAGATGGGTAAAATCCATATAGAATAGTTAATCTCTGTCTTAGTTACTCATATTTACTATTGGTCATCACTAAGACAATATTACAATATATTATTTCAGTGATATTGAAGTGTTTGCGTTGTTTGTATCGTGTTTATGTCATGATATAGATCATCGAGGTACAACTAATTCCTTCCAAGTTGAATCGGTAAGTTTCTTATAATAATTATTATAATATACTCTTTATTTTACATGATCGTTCAGATTAGACAATAAAGACAAGCCGTGTGCTACAGGCTGTGAATGTTAAAGATACCTCAACAGTTGGAAATCGAACAAGAGTAGACTAAAACCTCCTTTTTTCTGATATTTGGAATATAGTTTTATTCTTACTTTACAGCAATCAGTGTTAGCAGCTCTGTACAGTTCTGAAGGTTCTGTCATGGAGGTAGGTTGTTGAATCTAACATCATGCTTATTTAAAGGAATACTATCTCTTGAAGATGATCATCAGATATTCATCAGTTGGATTTACCTGATGTCAGATCTATACAACAGAATCCCTCTATAATCTGATAAATCCATCAAATTACAGGTTATTATTGAAAAATGCTTAAAGCGTGTTTCAATATTTACCTAGTTAAATTGATTTATCGTTGTGTATAGAGAATCTGTTGCACATTTTGCTTATACTATAATGAATAGTTCTTGCCTCTGCCCCAAGGCTCTTGGCCCCTGGCCTCTGCTTTTTTTGAGTAACATTCTCATTTGACTTAAACACTAAGTCAATTTTTAAGATTTTTAACAGTGTAATTTTTGCTTCGAACCAATAAGATCTATATTTTTGAAATTTCAGCGTCATCATTTTGCTCAGAGTATGTGTATTTTAAATACAGAGGGTTGCAATATCTTTGAAAATCTTTCTAGTGCTGTAAGTTTATTTTTCATTATGTCTTTTACTATCTGTCATTTATAAACCTAGTACTAACAATCTGAATCAAAATTAAACCTGAAATCAAAAATAAAGGAAAAGGACATTTCATGTTAATTTTTGATAACCAATATATTGTAGGCTATATTAACCTGTATATAAGATTACCAGTAATTAATCTGTTTATTTCAGCACTATACACAAGTGTTAGATCTAATGAGAGATATTATTCTAGCTACAGATTTAGCTCATCATCTGAGAATTCTCAAATCTCTTAAAGAAATAGCTAATAGTAAGATTTTATATTGTTCTTCTACTTATTAATATTTCAAATATATACCTTGTATTTAAAAGGATTGTAAAGAGGTTTACTAAACTTTTTATATGTATCGTGGACACTGATAACATCAATTTGCTCAATTACAATTTTCAATCAGACGTCTGTGGTTCCTGCAATGCCACTTAACGTAAAGGTTTTATGACATCACTAGTGACGTCCTGAACGCATAGTTGAAGTGGAATAGCTATTTCTAGGATATCCTAGCTCTTACATCATTTTGAGAATACTTACTAAGGTACCTTATGTAAACTTGTTGGAAATTGCTGTGTTCTAATACCTATTATTGATGATAATTTCAGATGGTTATAACAAGGACAGTAATCGTGATGTTAAATTATTGTTATGTTTGAGTATGACAGCCTGTGATCTTTCTGATCAAACTAAAAATTGGAATAATACAAAAAAAATTGCAGTAAGTACCTCATACAGTTTTACCATTTCTTACCTTCATGGTGGTTCACCCTTCCAAGTAGGTCCTACACTTTTATTCAAAGTGGTACACATTTTGAAAACAGTCATAGATACAAAAAGATGCCTTTTAAAGTGATTAAATGTATATAAACTTGAGATGGAATACCCACAGTGTTTGGATGTTATTATGATTATGTGTCTTCTCTATTTCAGAGTTTAGTTTATCAAGAATTCTTCTCTCAAGGTGATTTAGAGAAAGCTCTGGGACAGAATCCCCTGGAGATGATGGACAGAGATAGAGCTTGTATTCCTGATTTACAGATCAGTTTCTTAGACAATATAGCACTCCCAGTTTATGAGTAAGTTTAGGGGAACCAGCGGTAAGCTAGGGAGGGATGATAAGGGAAGGGGGGTTGAAAGGGGGAATTGAGCACCTTAGACAATATAGCACTCCCAGTTTATGAGTAAGTTTAAGGGAACCAGGGGTAATGGAGGGAAAGATGAAAAGGTAAGGGGAAAGGGGCAACTGAGCACTGAGTGAGTTAAGCAAGACCAAGGGGGGGTAAGGAAGGGGCAAATAAATGTCCAGCAGGTGGAATTGCTTCTGTTAATAATACTGTCAAATCATTAATATCTTGTGAAAACGGGACACTCCTCTGGCATGAAAAGGATTGTTTTGATTGGTTGAAATTCGTCTCATACGAAGTTATTTTGATAAAGTGAACCGGTGTATCATCTATATTGATAGAGCAGGATTTCAACGATAAGAACAGCAATTTTTTTATGACAAGTTCTTGGCTTTCACTGTTTGGATACTTTGTTAATGTAATTCAATTATTTATCTTTTTATTTCTTTTTTAGAATTTTAGCAAAAATCTTCCCACCCATGGATGAGGTGTTGAAAAATGTTTTGGACAATCGAAGTCGTTGGGAGAGGATAGGAAAATTACTGAATTTACGTCGTGGAAATAGTACCCAGCAACTTAGTATAGAACAAATTATTGCCCTTGATTTAGATACGGATGATACAGATATTGAAGTTTTAAATCGTGCTAATGCTTTAAATGGGCGGTAGAACTTGCAACTGATCAATTTGAAGCTAACTGATGCATTTTATTTTTGAATTTTCCTCGCTTTGGATTGCAGAATGAATAAGGCTGCTAATCTGGCGCTATTCATATACTCAATGTGTTGTATGTCAGCTTGTTGATGATTCAATGCAGCTGGTTTGAGGAATAAGATGAACGAGTGTGTAGTTCGCATTTTAAATTGTTACGAGTAAACATGAGATTTATACCATTCAGGAAAAACCAACAACTTTTCTCAAGTTTTGTCGTGTCTATTATCACTTCAATGAACCAAGACATCTTTGTTTCTTAACTTATAGAATGGTTTGTGAACTCTCTTAAAGATTCAAAGACAAAAAGCTAATTCTTCTGAGAACTTTCATTATTGTTGTTAGAAGTTGGTAGCCAAATAGTTCAAATGAAGGGGAAATATTATGTGACAGGCAATCAAAATCACCCCTTTATTAAGTGAATGAACTCTTCTATTAAAGATGTTGAATATGAGATTTGCAGTTTTGGAAGAGTTCAAAAAGTGTTGAGGGGCTATCAATTTACTAAACATTACCAGTGAGAAAGGGGAGGTTACCATCACCTAAACCAACATACAAACAACAAATCAGAGAAGATAGCACAATGTTCACGATTTGTTAACGTAAACAAAAAAAAGTTAAAATTAATTATACAGGGTATTGCTTTAAAAGATGTTTAACTGAATAAAACGTGACCATAAGGTTATTAATATTCAGTCAGACGCAATCTCAAACATATTAAGTCATGTTCTATGACTGCATTTTGATTGGACATTACTCTGAGATATATCAGGGTCACTAACAGTTGACACGGTAACCAGTATTTGGTTATTGCCAGTGATAACTACAGTCTGTTGTTGCCTTTGACCACATAGCACATGGGATTGATACTCGAGATTTTAATAGCAGCAAAAATATTTCTGTACATTCAGGGAAGATTCAAAACTCAGATGAACAGTCCATGTTATTTTTAAGGTAGTTTAAGTAGTAATAAATGCTGGCTTGAATCTGGCTTGTATAGTTTCATACTATTTATTCTACCTCATATAAAATGGACACTGCTCAATTGTTGATTTCTTAAAATGGCGGGGAAAGGAATAGCAGGAAAATTTTGAATGTAACATGTTCTGGTTCTGTACCGTTTGATTGAAGGCAGAATTGAAATAAGAACTCTCAAATCAAGTGCTATCAAGAATTGTTTGTGTTCGTGTTTTGAATTGTCTCTGTATTTGCAGAAATATCTTTGCTCGTTTAACTTATGTATGATTTTGCAAATGGTTCTGAGACTTATAGTGAATTGAGATGATGATGATGATGAATGGAAAGATAACATATATAATAAATCTGTTTATCAGATACAATGATATGATTTTAACGTGTATGTTTAGATTAGGCTGTTAGTTGCCATATGATTTCAGTTCTCTTTATTTTGTGCCTTTACTGTGCAGGTAATCTTGCAAATCTCTTTTTAGTCTTATCTTGTACGTGTGGTAGAGGTATAATTTTAATATTAGCCACAAATCTATAGTTGAAATTTCCTTAAAACAACCATCACCAAAAACCTTGAATTCTTGTCTAGGTTCAATCTAGGTTAATCCTGGGTTAAAACCTTCACAAACCTATCTTTAAAAACCTACTGAAAAACTGAGCTTAAACTTTATTTATACAGACCTGACGATAAACCTAAAACCTAACCATAGACTTATCTTTAAAAACCTACCGAGAAACTGAGCTTAACCTAATTTATGAATTTATAAGAAAACCTTTATAAAACCTAACCATAAACCTAAAACCGAACCATAAACCTAAGTTAATCACCATAACAAACAAACCTCATCAGATTTTCAATGCTCAACAGAAACCTCAGTTGGAAACCAACCTAAGTTTAAACCTCATGTGAAACCTCTATCAAAAACCAAGTTTAAACCTCAAATGAAACCTCTGTTGAAAGCTAAGTTTAAACCTCAGGTGAAACCTCTATCAAAAACCAAGTTTAAACCTCAAATGAAACCTCTGTTGAAAGCTAAGTTTAAACCTCAGGTGAAACGTCTGTTGAAATCTAAGTTGAACCTCAGGTCAACCTAAGTTTAACTCTCATCAAGAACGCAAGTATTATACCCTATAATTTATTTTGTTCTGTTTATTAAGTTTACCAAAGTGCTTCAAACCAAAATGATTTTTTTGCACGTCACCTTTTTCTTATCTGTTCAAAATTCTTTATTACATATCATTTTGTCTTTATCATTAGTTTACTTGTTTTCATTTATATCAGTTGAATAAATAATAACTTTTATTGGATATTGACCTTTGAACTTAGTTCTTCTATTTGAAAACCAAATTTAGTGGTTCGTCAGTAAGTGTTATCAAGTGCTCTATTCTCGTTACTCTGCTGCACTAATTAAATCAACACTCACCTGACCAAAGTCAGCCAAAATAGAAATTCATTTTATTTTATTTTTCCAACAAATGTTTAGAATAAAATTCATTACTTTTCAAAGTATTTTCTGCATGTAGAGTTATATTTTAAGCTGAAATTTAGAAAGCTCAAAAAACATTTATTTTATTTATAAGATGTTATATATTTCAATTTCTTTATTTATTTCAAATAAATATCAGGAAAATAAACAATATTTATTTTTAAAACATTATTTTCACTTTACATGATCTCTTTTCTCATTTACTTTCCCAAAAAATTTGCATGCAAACTTTGTAAGATACGTAAAACGCTGTGTTGATGCTTACACTTAAAAATCCCCTCCCCTCCCTTCACCCATCTAATTCAATACCCCACCCCTAACCTTTTTCAGTATTTTGTATGAAAGTTTCTCAATTTTTTTCTAATTAACTTGTTATTGTTATAGAATTTAGAATATTATACTATTTAGTGAATGTACTATATGTTTTTATTATAATTAATTGTTATTTTATGAATTATACTAATTCTTGTAAGTGTGGCTTAATCTAGCTCACATTTCTCGTTATTTTTTGCGTTGAATTCTTTAACTTATCATAAGAGTATGAAAAATCAAATGCCTTGTACTGCAGTTAACTAGTGTATAAAATATTTAATAAACCTCTTTACAATCCCTTTAATATCACTGTTATAGAAACAGAAGCACCATAATCAATTCATCTGGTTAAAGGGATTGTAAACAGGTTTTTCTCTAAACATTCTATGCCTATCTTGGAAAATATATTTGCGAATTTCAAAAGTTGTGACAATATTAAACACTTTATAAGTTGATTATCACAAGTGAACAGTGATACCAGGTTCTTATTTCAAATCTGAAAAGAATCAGCTCTTACTTCTGGCAAATCAGTCTGTGTTCAATCTACAATTTAGCTCATTGGCCATCTACAATTTATCTATAGAAAATGTCAGCTCTGATCCTGGAAATGTTATTTTTTTGTATCCAGCTAACAATTGGGTCTCTTGATTGGTGAGTTTTGCACGTTCCAGATTTATGGAATCGACCGGAAATTCAATAAAACAAGTTTGATGTGTGCCGAAAAAATAGCAAGTGAAGATGGAATTCAAAATGGTGGAGAGAGGAATAGACATGAAAATTGAAGTGACATATCTGTTTCAGTACAGTTCAATGGAGACTAGAATAGAAACAGATGGAACCTGTTCAGGACTCACCAATCAAGCACAACCAATATTATAATATGTTGTTATTAGAAGATATTTGTTAATTAGTTAATGAATTCATCATGTCATTAAGTCTTAAAATCTTCATTTTTCTTTCTTTATAATAAAGTTTACTTGAATTATTACAGATCAGTTGTTTTTAATCAAATTACAACAACTTTCTTTACAATCTGACATTATGGGTCTTTTGTGATGTTTTGTTTTTGTTAAGTCTTTTTGACCATTCATACATAACACAGATTGTATAATGTAGTTATCCATGAAATGTTGTTCCACATAATTTATGGGACTTTTAAGCAATGAAGGCGGGGCCTATAGAGTTATGAATAAATTAGACAAGGTGAAAAATTGTTCGTTCTTGCAAAGCCATTTCTAATAATTTTGCCCCCAAGTATAATATCTCCATCAAAAAATAAATTCAAACCAAATTGTTTTAGGAAATAATTTATTGGATATATGTATTATATTCTGGATTTTAAATTTCTAGGAACATGCTCTTAATTAAGATAATTAATTATTCTAGCTAATTATGACTAAAGATTACAGACAAAATAATTAGAAATTAAAGCTATGGTTCCTTCAGAAAAAAAAAAGTCTTGGCTCTTTCCGCAGCAAAGCTTTCTTTTTAACTGAATTCTTAAAACAATACAACTTCAACGTTCCTTTTCAATGATTAAATAATTTTTTTGTAAATTTCAAGAGATATATTACTTTTCTCTGTATTTATACATCATAAATTAACATTTTATTTACAACATTTAGTATAAAAATCATTTATTCCTTGTCTAATCTATCATTCATTCATTTATTCGTTCACTTTCAACTAAAAACAATAACCAAAACACTGAAAATGCACAATGTTGTTGACAACTTTTGAACATTAACTTAAATTTTTATACAAAAATTCTAAATTCTGAGCAGAACCGCGACAAAAATTATACTAATACTGGGAAAAAAAATAACCAAACTTCAACAAAAATAACAAATTTACATCTTCACAATTACTTGGGAAAAATGGTTTTGATATATTGGAATTTTACATAATATCAATTCTGCCTTTCATACATATAATTAAAAAATCATTAATATTTCTATTACTAAAACAAATAATTTCTAAGGATACACAATTCAACCAAAAAGTAACGCAACAGTTTCGACTTTCAGCTCTTCCAGCTATTTCACAGACAAAAAAATTATCTGTTTCTTCATCCAAGACATATAACCATCATTGTATACAGAACACACACAAATAAACAAAAGAATACAAAGTTATGACTAACATGTTATTATTGCTATAAATGAACAATGTTTAGGGGGGTTGGGATTAGGGGGTATGTCTGTGGGGGGGTTGGGGGTGATTCATATCACAGATAATAATAATAATAATCTATCACTTATTATAACAAGATGATGTTGGATGATAAATGACTAACAATTCCACCATGTTTAAACAACAAAACCTTTTAGAATAACTTACAAATTATTGGCTCTTAAAGACAAAACAAATATTCTCATCAAGTTTGTTATTAAAACATGGATTTTACTAGATTTTTTCTTAACAGAAGAAACAAAATTAAGACAAATCTTTTTCAAAAGCCAAGAAAAAATCCAGTTTGATTTAAAATGAAATAAATGTTGATATGTACAAAATAATGATAATACAAAATTATGAAAAACTCTCTAATTTCAAACTGGCTTTGAAATATTAAATAACAAGTAATTACACACGCAACGAAGTTTCATGCTCGAGAGAGAAATGGTTTGGTACACCAGGCAAGATAAGAGAACTAAAGAAAAGCTGCCAAGATTCAAGTTTTTCTTACAGGGTTTCTGATTCTGTCTTAATTGCCAATGAGTTTGCCAGTCTTGTCCAACCAGTAAACTGCCAGTCTTGTCCATCCAGTAAACTAAGTTGCACATGTTCATGGAATGTTTCTACTTTTGAAGTTGTGAGAGTAATTTAAACAGGCTTATTAATATTAAATCATTAGCCTGTCATATAACTAATTAGCATATTTGAATATGTTAACCATACAGATTAGTTAAACATGACTGTACTAGTTATAAATTACTTAATAATTCAAGTAATAAATATATATACGTTTCTAGTCAAAATTTAGTAAGAGTTGGGTCTCTGTTTTCACTGGAAACATCTTGGATACACATAATATTCTCTCATATACACACAGTCTTTTATACCACACTACACAATATACGTTTAAATAGAAAAATAAATAGCACCTGAAAATATAAACACAATTCTAACATTAGAATAGACTCCATAATAATTTTACATCATTTGGTAGATGTTATATGAGCTAATTCTACCATTTTCTCAAGCACATTACAGTCACTCTCTGCCAGTTATTGTATTGAGTTTAATGTATCAAGAAAAATGGCAATTCATATGAAAGTATGTTCATTTCTTTTCTCAATACTGTTCTATACCCTCTTAGGAATTTTTTTTATACAAGGATAGCAAAAAATCATAGCCCTACCCACCTACCTTTTTCAATCTTCCTGAGTATTATCTTCTTCAATTGTGGGCAAGTCAGTTTCCCCATCATAGCTTGGTCGAGATCGTATTTTAAAAAATAAACTATTAGAGATACGTTGAGATTTAGGAATTGGTTCTGGTATTGATATCTCAGCTTGTTTTACTACTTGTTGGCACTCAAACATCTCAGAATCTGTTATCTATCAAGAAAATACAAAATATATAACACATTGTAAATAGGTTTTCTAAACTTATTATGTGTGTTTTTGAGAACACTGATAGCATCGATATTCAATCAGACGTCTGTGATTCCTGCATTTCAACTAAAACTATGTGTTTTATGAGGTCACTATCACAAAGGGTTTAATATGGCAGCTATCGCGACAGTGATGTCATAAAATGCTTAGTTTTAATGGAATTCTTAATCTTAAGTTACAGGAAAGCAGCAATATGGTGTTTGAATTGAAGGAAAAACAGTATTGTATTGCACCCAAATGAAAATCATATTGTATAGAGTGACCCTGTCTTGGAAATTGCATGAGCTTTTAGAGAAATCTTTCAAAATAACTGTACTTACTGCACAAATAGATTGTAATTTGAATATAAAAGCTGACATGGTAGAATCTAGTAGATCATTATCTTGTAAATATTGATATAAAATACATAGAGCTACACTGGACGGCTGAAAATATATAAAAAAAAATATTTTGATATGAAATTTGTAATATGTAATAACTGGATCATATTACATAGCTTTTAAAGTTTTCTTATTAAGAAATAACTCTTTTTTTAACAATTGTTAATCAATAATTTAGCATTCCTCCTGATTAATATGAAACAGAACAAATCGCCTACCTTAAAAAATAGACTGAAGCCAAATCGTAAATATTTTTCAGCAATATCCACCATTTTCTCTACAGAACACAGCACCCCAACCCCAGGGTAGTTGTCTTGTAATATCTCTAGAAAATGGTTGATAAAGGTGAGATATGTAGTAAGAGGAAGTGTCCAGCCTAACTTCTGTAATATCACACTCTCCATCCTACACAAATCAGATAACTTCCAACGGTTTCCATGGAGCTTACATAAACCATTACCAGATGGTAAATTCTGAAAACAAAAAAAAAACAGAATCATAAAACTTGTGAAAATATGAAATTTGATACAGTCTAACTTTTGTCCATTTTGTCCAAACCACATCCCCATTCGTAGTCCTGTTCCTGTGCTTCTGTAACCTTGTTATTAGTACAAAGTTACAACCTTTACTCCCCCATTTGTCTGGAGACTATGTCAAAACCTGTATTTCTGTCTAACCTAGACTGAACTGAATATCTTTTTTATAATAAAACTTTCTCACCTCCTCTTCTTCATGTATTTTAGTTGAAATAAAATAACAAGCAGCAGCCACACAGGATAAATGTTGTTGTTTTACCTTGAAATATAAAAAAAATCAATTATCTCCCTTTGACCACAGTCAACTCAACAAACCACCCAGTTTTTTTTTTTAATAAAGTAATTTCATTCCTAAAAAGTTGAGAATAAATCAATTAAAAGGTTTTAATCAAGAGAAAAGTTTACACAATCAAATTAAAATACATCCTGAAAAGTTTTCCTTACTAAAGGTGGCCCTCACATCGTAGTGATGACCAGTTGTGTATATGGTTGTGAATAATGAAAGTGGTCATGAGTTCTGAACATAACTCACAACTCAGCTGTGTACAAAACTTGACAGCTTTTCATATTCACAACCATACACAACTGGTGATCACAGATGACTCCAAACTTATAATAATCTAAGCCAATTAAATAACATTGAAATAAAGTAATCACCTTAATTGTAGCTAGAAATTTGTCCAGAATACCAACAGAGAGAGCGAATGTGTCTGGAGCTCCATCATAGAAGACATGTAAACATCTTATACTGGATACAGCTAATACTCTAGATTGGTGGAAACCCTCAGGCAGACGACTTATCCTCTACAGAAAATAGATAAAAATATTGAAATTAAGATCTCACTTGCATTATTACTAAGAGCTAAAGCACCAAGTGAAATTTAAAAATTTAACATGCTACTGATGTTTATTGTAGAATTGAAAGTATGGTCTGTTTGATAACGCACATTTTTATGTAGCCCACAATTTATTTTCAAACCGATCAAATGATAAGAAATAATTAACTTCTTAATGGCTAGTTATAGCCTACTTAATAATGTAGGCTTCTTGGCATCGAAAAGGGGAAAAGACTATGAATTCAAGTTAATTAAGCTTACCTGAGATGGATTTGGTACATCTTCTAGTTTTTCCAAAGTAGCTTTTAACTTATCAACCGCAGTAGACATGGAAGATTTCTGAAAATTAATCAACTGTCTTCAGATCTCAATGTTGCAAAATTTGGCGCAGTGGTTCTTTAATAATATTCATTGCCAAACTACCCATAGGATTAGTTGCATTGAATTTGCCTTCATTTTGGCTTAAAATAGCAAAGAAAAGGGATGAAACAGACAGAAATAGCCTACTTTGCACCACATACACAAGGCATTGCTGTCTAGCCTCTATGTATCAGACAGCGAATGTTTAGCCTTATGAACTTACTGATTATGCAAGGCCACCCAAAGTGATCTAAGGCATTAATAATGATCATCATCAAGATTAATGTCCCCAAAATTAGTCAGCAAAATTGTGAAATCTTATTTGCTCAGTTACAGTAGCATACTTACATTCACTGTGAAATCTTCTGTCTTTGTTGGCTGCAAAATGACAGTCTCAAATTTGCTTTGTTCAGTTGTCACTGCTGTGATGTCTTTGACTGCTTGTTGCTGTTGCTTCTTATTTTTATTATTCTTTGATCGTCTTATACTTTTCTTGACAACCATTTTGAACCATGGAATCACTCCCCTTCTCTCTCAACCACTCCTGCCTTTGTCGCTGGGAAATTTTTCTGCGACCAAAGACGTCGTTTTCCCAGCTTTTTTACTTCTGCTCCATTGTTGATAATTTGACAGCTGATTCAATCAAAGTTGGCGCGCGTGCAGTTGAAATCTATTCTTGTTTTTGATTGGTTGACCTACAAAATAGTTTAAAACGAACATTTTCATTGGTGGATCCATGACATTTCTGACAGAAATAACAACAAAAGAAAATTTTCACAAATCTGCTTAAAACAACCCAAATTATTTTTAAAAATGGTTTCGTTTTAGTCTCTAAACTCTAGAAAAACAAGTACTTACGACATTTGTCCTTAATCTTCCCCCCAAATCCAAATTAAAGTCTATTTCGGGCACCTGCGATTTTGACAGCTCGGGGGAAATTACACTGGGAACACTAAAAAGTAGGTTAAAATTTACCGCTTTCAGCTTCCGTGAATGAAATAGTTCGTAATTTAGAGTTTGCTATTTTCAAAAAGCTTCCAAACTTCCACAATTCTATCAAATCTTAGTAACTTCGGGAAATTTTGAATAGAAAAATGAAAAAATGTTTCGAGAAATTCTCTGAAAAATTCTGAACTTTGACAGAGCGTATGAATATATTTTCATATTATTCTGATTATATTAGTTCTATTTATAGACGCCCTATCCGACATTACAGACTCAACGCAATTTTTTCATCAGGAATTTTCGACGTAAATTATACAAATTCAGAATGTGTTAGAAACAACAAAAAGTGGTTTTAATGGACCCAAGAGAGTCCTTCTTCTCCAAAATAAACTCTAACAAAACCGAGGTGAGTGATTTATTTGATTTTGAGCAAATTTTCTAAACGGTTTGAGATGACATTGAAATTTCCACAAAATTGCATGATGTCATTATGTAGGGTGACCTAATAAAAATGAAGCTGGATTTTGCCTTTTAAAATCAGCTGGTTGGATTCATTAATCCCTTTAATTGGATCTTTTGACAGTTACATAGAAAAACCTTCACACGTTCTTCAAATTAGTTTAATTCCATCATCAAAAGAAGTGTAAATCTCAATAATTTCAACCCTAATTTTTATGAAATTTCACTTCTGCTTGTGTAATATTGAGAATAATGGTCGACCTATTTTTGAACCAGTCTGCCTAGAATTAACTCCTAGAATCTTCCAGAACGTTTCTCAAAGCTTCAATAAATAATGATTTATATAATTGATCATTAATGCAATTGTCATGACACTGTGCCTAGTCTGTTGTTTCTTTCCTTTGTTGTTGTTGTCATAACAAAGAAAGAAAGTGGGTCAACAGATTCCATGTTCTGCAGATTTCAGCCTATGATGCTATCCCAGCATTTGGCTTCGTGGCCATGCACATGATTTCTCCTTGGTTGAAAAATCTTTACTAATACTGATGATTATAGTTAATCTAAGATATTTACTTGAAAAAGTGTTCAAGTTTGCATTAAAAAAAAACCAAGTCGTAAAGTTTACACTGACATCGACAGGCTTCTGTATCCATTTCAACTTGAAAATCAGACATCTGAGTTTCATATTCTCTACCCCTCTAACTCTTATTATTTGTACCTATTCATTTGTCTCAAAAGATGAGTTGTCATTTTAACTTTTAAAACAGATGATTCTGGACATCACATGGATTTGAAGGCTCAAATTTGGACGGTGAGCTGTGAACACTATTACTGATTAGCTCAGTCAAGGTACGATGGTTCAAACTGATGATGAATCAATTGTCCCTGTAATATTTTGTCATTATTTGATTTTAGGTGTGTAGAGAGGGTGGTGTTATAATCGTGGGACAAGATGAAGATTCAATGTGGATTGACTGCTAGCCAACTAGCCAGGGTACTGGGGGAAACACTTAACAAAGAATTTCAAACCTGGAAACCAATTCTTTATAAACCTACAGATCAAGTGAGTAGTTCCATTCAGTATTCTAGATTCTCCTTGTGGACTCTCCAAAAGCCACGGTGAATTGCCCATTTCCTACACTTGTTTTTTTTTCAAAACTGGACTTCATCAGCCTGATTTTTTGTTGTTTCTCTTTTTACTTGCAAAAATAATTTTGGTATGGACTCTCCAAAAATCAATAGATGATGAAAAGAATCATGGTAAATTTTCCTTTTCTTGTGAACCCTGCTACTCCTTACCTTCATATTGTACCTTGATCTACAAATGTGAAGGTCACCCCTTTGCTCTATTTTAAAATGACTGTCTTTTCCTTACAAAATTGATGAGTCCGACTCAACCCATTAGGCTTAATTAGTCAATAGAATTAATGAGGTGATTAATGGGATATTACTAGTGGCCCATCTGACATTATGATCCCCATGATCAAATATTATGAACGAGTGAATTGGTCTTGAGATGGTGGCAATAAAATTGTGTAAGCTTATATATGATATATACCAGTACTATAAAACAGTGCCAGTTACATCTGTCTTAACTATAGAACAGGGGGTCGGTCACAAAAACTTCATATGGGAATTGCAAAATGATAAATACTTAATAATAAGTTTGCTTAGGACAAATAGTTAGAACATTTTTTTTAATGTCATGGGATTTTTAGGAAAAATGAGGACAGATTACTAAATTATTTTGATAAATCTCAATGAAACCAGACTCAGATAGGTCCTAGTTGTTATCAGTTCAGTGGATTTAGATAGTAAAATAACTATTTTGATTGATGATATCATGACCACTGACATCAGTTGTTTCTGATTGGCAGGTTGACAAACCTCTAAGTTACATATTACTCTTAATATAGATTCTGCTTACTTCTCATTTTCTATTTATCTATCGTCAGTCTTATCCAGACATCATTACTGAAGCTTTTTATATCAGATGTCTGGTTGATAGTCTTCTTTTGTAAATGTTATGCATTATAACTTGAGTATATTTGGTTAGAAACTTGTCAAATACAGCTGATTCATGTTGGGGTGGTTGTAACTAAACAGACAACAATCCTTAAAAGTAGTGATTTTCTATTTTCGGATTATTTGCAATTTAAATCAATTCATATTTTGAGATTTTACCATATATCATGACCCGACCTAAGTTTTTTGACATGAAATAATATGATAGTTTACAAAAGGTGTTTATATTTGAAGTACCTTTAAAGAGACAGGTGTTTCATTTCGGGGGGTTGATTTTTGTCTCGAATATATGTAAATAGTCTTCAGAAGTACTAGAAAGGTACGAATATCGCATAATTCTTTCAAAAATACTTCAAACTAGGAATTTTACTCACTATTTCTAATGTCTTTTCTATATATCACAGAGTATCATAAATTGAGGAGTCGTAATTTTAACATTCAAATACAGATAATTCTCGTCAGACATGGATTTGAAGGATTTGCATTTACAAACCTCTGACAAGAAAGATGACTATTAAAGTCAATGACAAAGTTCATAATAGCTTGACATTATGAGATGGTCTGATGGTGAGCCTTTTTATTGACACTCAAGATGAAGATGTAAATTTGTCAGTTTGTTAACCTCTCACTTAAAGGTCATCAAAATATCTATTTTAATCCCCCACTAACCTTTCAACATTAGGTCAGAGATGTTTATATTATGTCACTGTCATTTATAAACTCATTAAATCAACAGGCCTCATTTAAAATACATGGTGCTTGCCCTAGAGGGGATGTTTATGTATAGACATGTTTAACTGAGGATACATCATTACATATCACTTAATGGTCACTTTGAATAGTCATTATTATGTTAATACTGTTGGTCTTGGTGTTAGTGTATAATTATAGAACAGAAGAAAAACTTTAAAGCCTCTTATTGTTTGTTTAAAGAGATTGTAAAAAGGTTTTCTAAATTTTTTATATGTATCGTGGACACTGATAACATCAATTTGCTCAATTCCATTTATCAATCAGACATCTGTGGTTCCTGCAATTCCACTAAAACTAAGTGTATGACATCACTAATAGCAAAGGGCCTTATGTGATAAAGAATATTTTGCTATAAGCGATTATAAAGTGCCAATTTAGATTAAACTTGCC